AATTGAATTAATTAATTCTAATTTAATTCTAATTGGATTCTAATTGAATTAATTAATTCTAATTTAATTCTAATTTAGTTTAAGGCTCCGGTCTGGCGCAGACTTCACAAAGACGCTACGAACGGAACAAAGGGCATCGCTACTAGGGGCTCCTGGCCGTACTACTAGGAACAATGTATGCTAGTAGAAACAAGGTTCGCTACTAGTAACAAGTGCATCGCTTCTAGTACAAGTGCCTTACTAGTAGTAACAAGAAGCTAGTAGACACAATAAGCTAATAGCTTCTTGCTCCGTTCGTAGTAAGGCCAGCAGCCCCGATCGTAGCGTCCGATCGCTCCTAGTAGTAAGGCCAGGAGCCCCGTTCGTAGCGTCCTTGCCCCCTTTTTGACATTTCTTTATCAGATTTTCCTCTCTACCTTCAGACCTTGTCTTCTTCTCTTTGTCACTTTTTCATTGCTTTTACGACGTGACATGTCTTCACAGAGAGAGGCTTGGCCATGTTCAAGCTGCACAGCCGTATGTCTTTTCCTGTTTGGGGTCTACGCTGGAACAGTTGGTTCAAATTTGTGGTGCCCCAAAAGGTGAGCTCACGCGGCATCACATCTTGTTCTTAGGAACAAAGACACTAATAGGAGCAAAGGCATCGCTTCTAAATAAAATGGATTAGGCATGAAAGCCAATGTTGAAGACCGACGCACAAAATGATAGCAAAAGCTATTGATCGTTTATTTCTGGAATGAACACAACCTCAAACATGTCATCATTCAGCCGGGATCTGTTTCAAGGTGAAATCGGTGGCAAAAAGAGAAGAAAAGCGCAATGAAAAATGAGCAGCATCACCACTGGAGGACAGCCTCAATTCATTTCTGAGTCCTTCCTTCCTTCCTTCCTTCCTTCCTGTCTGTCAAGACAGCAGGAATAAGCACAATTGTGGGTTGCCCAGCTGAGCGCGAAGAAAGACAAAGAACGACACACTGTTCTTTCTTTAGCGTGACAAATACTGAATGGGTATTCTCATCACGGACTAAGAGAAACACCAACCTCGGATGTCCAAGACCGCTGTGATGGCACGACCCGCAGAGCACAATCGAAAAGCGCTCAAACAACGTGAGCCGACTGGAGCCGAAAACAAAGGGCATCGCTACGAGGAGCAAGAAGCTATTAGGAGCAAAGGCCATCACTATTGAGTTTGTTTGAGAAAACAAAAAGGTAGACAAATAGAAAAGAAGCGTGTTCACATGTTCTCACATGCTGCTATCGATACAGAAACCTTTAAAAGGTGAGGTGAAGAACGTCTTCTTATCAACGATCAGGAACGCATGTATGCATTGACAAATAGAGCGGCTGGAGTGGAAGAGCACTCACCCAATGGATACAGTATACATCGTCTCTTTTTACACACACACACACTCTCGGTGGGTGACCCAGCTATACTACCAACCTTGAGAGATGCACTCGGCATCGCCCGTGAATAGGGCAAACACTTGGCAAACTTGCGATGACAGCAAATTGGCAATTTGATTCTTTTGACCTCGAAGAATTGCCTTAAAGAGCTCTTTGTCGACCACATGAAATGCAAAAAGGATGCTATTAGGTTGGAGGCCATTGCCATTAGGTTTCTTTTCTTATCTTTTTCTTTCTTCTTTGGGTTTCAACCAAGGCTTCAAGCTTCGCCAGCGAAACGGTCTGCTCTTTTGGCTCTTCCGGCTCCACCTGCGAGGGCAAGAAATTCGCCAGCGATGCCCTTTGCTCCTAAGTAGCTTTGTGTTCCTAGTAGCAAGGCCAGGAGCCCCTAGTAGCGTCCTTGCTCCTAGTAGCAATGCCAGGAGCCCCTGGTAGCTTCTTGTTCCTAGTAGCTTCTGGATCCAGATGTAGTGGCTTAAGTGGCAAGTAGCTTACTCCCTTACTGAATTAAGTAGGAGCGGGCCAGCAGGCTGAACAAAAAGAAATGATGTACTAGTAGCGTCCTTGTTACTAGTAGTATGGCCAGGAGCCCCTAGTAGCGTCCTTG